AACCAATAGTGCTTCAGTCTCTGTTTTTTGGAGAACCCAGTATCGGACATGAGCAGAGTGCACAACGAAGAGAGGAGTGCTGCAGAATGTGTCAGTCAAGAATTCAGAGATGTTTTCTTCCAATCATCTTCCAATGTAGGTCGAACCAGTTTGACTCAGTGTAAAATTGATACTGGGGGATCATCCACCAATCAAGCAGCATCCAAGACATTGCTAAACAGGAAGAGGTGAGAAAACCTCAAAGGGACAGGCGAAATAGTGATGTTATTGAGCCTTCTGCTATTCCTTGGGCATCTCCCATCATCCTGGTCAGAAAGAAGTGTGGTTCAACAAGATTTTGTGTTGAGTATTGATGTTTGAATGACATCACAAAGAAAGGCAGCTACCATCTTCATAGACTTGACAATATTTTGTGTACTTTTTCCAGAAGCAAGTGATTGTCAACTCTTGATTTAAAGAGTGGATGTTGGCAGATAGAGATATGCCCTAATGATCACGAAAAGACAGCATTTACTACCAGACAAGGAGTATTCAAGATGATGCCATTTGGATTATATACCAGCAACATTCGAACAGTTCTAAGATCAGCTCATGGAGACAGTTCTAAGAGGTCTTTCCTATGAATCCATTTTGATATATCTGGATGATGTCGTCATGATCAGAAAAGTTTTGAGGAGCGATTAGAGTTTTAGGAAGGTGCTACTAAAATTGTAGGAAGTCAATCTAATATTAAGCCTTCCCAAATATAAATTATTCAAGCTGGAAGCGACTTCCCTCAGGCATGTCATCTGTGCCAAAAGTGTGTATGGATCCATAAAAAGTGTGGGCAATTAAAGATTGAATACCCACTGAAAATGTCCATAAGCTGAGAAGTTTCCTGGGGCTGTGCATCTAGTATAGGAGAGTTGTGAAGGACTTTTCTTCCATCATAAGACCTCTTCACAAACTGACAGAGAGCAAGCAAAAGTTCTTGTGGACAAGAGAACATGAGGACGCATTTAAACCAACTGAAGAATGCTTTAACATTTGCGACAATTGTGACGTATCCTCAGCTCCACAAACCATTTATTCTTAATATGGATACGAAGAGTGAGAGTGTCGATACTGTTTTGTCTCAAGAGGTAAACAGCAAGAATATGTCATATAAGTATATACAGTCAAAAGTCGTTAATCCGGACTCGTCGGGACTTCGGCGATTCCGGATTATAGATCATCAGTTTAAATCTGGTAAGATGGCATGCAGAAATTATAAAATTAAAAATATGAAACCGTAATTTATGAAATAAAGAACAATTATGATCTAAAGGGTATCAAAATTTACAAAAAAAAAAAAAAAAGCTTGATATTTATTTGTTTACTTTATTAAACATTTCTTTCAATGTAAGTTGCTTAAGTTGCTTCATTTTATGTGATAATATTTTCTCTTTAATTTCTATAAACAGACATAATTTCTTGTTCAGTTACAAAGTTCCTCTGTTCAAGTCCCGTTAATTGCTGTGCCGAGAATACCGACTAACTTGTCAATCGAAATTTTTTCGTTTTCACTAACCTCTCTGTCACATTCTTCATGTCTTTATCCATTTTTTTGCAGCAATTCCACTTTTTGTTTGTTGGACATCGAAACATACATTCGTTTTGTAGATCCTTTGGAAGTTCCAGCATCGGAAATTCTATTTGACATAATCGAAAGTTCAAGTTTACTTTTATAAAATTGCTCTTACAGTCTGCAAAAAATAATAAGCGGGATCCAATTCGAAGATTAAGGAACAAGCAATCATATTAACATTAACTGAAATAGATAATTAGATAATTTTAGCTTACACCGCCCGTTATACATTAAACGCGCAGGCGAAAACGTATTCTGCACTTGCGCACACGCATATGCGCAGTAGTCAAGGTCTTACGCGCACGCGTAAAATGCCTGTGCGCATGTGCCAATGCGGCGCATGCGCAGAAAGTTTTTAGTTTTGAGGTCCGGATTATGGGTGTCCGTATTAGCGACTTTTGACTGCATCAGTAAAAGTCTATCTAAACAGCAGAGGAATTACTGTGTTACCAGAAATGATCTGCCGCATAATTAAAGCCATAGAACATTTCCATTATTATCACTATGGCAGAAATTCCCTAGCACATGCATCATAGACTTGGCTTATAAATTTCGACAATCCCAAAGGACATATAGCCAGATGGATGCAGAGACTGCATGAATATGACATCATTAGACATCATTATCTGTTGTCAGAAAGGATCGTCATACGGAAACGCCGATAACCTCTCTAGAAAGCTGCTGATTTTTTATCAGTGTTGAAGTGAAATACGAGCTGGTTGATCTGGTCATAATTTGGATTACAAATTCAACATTGTCTGACCCAGACCCAGGCAGTGATGAAGAAGTCAGGAAAGACAGTTGGCGATAGCATTAAACCCATATTTGACTTAATGGAATCTTTAAATATTAAACCTACTTTGCAGGACATTTTGAACTATCGTCCTACAACAAAACAATATTGTGCTGTCCGAGACTCACTCCATATTTGAAATGGCATCTTGTATTGGAAGTTTGAATCAGGTAATGGCAAAGCATTGCGATTGGAGATGGTACTTCCAAGATCCCGGATCCCAGCCATCCTCAAGAACTACATATCATCTCAACAAGAGGCCACTTAGGAATATTGAAGACTTGGCAACAATTGCGCTTCTATGCGAGTAATGCAAGGCCTGATGTGCGAACGTAGTGTCAATCTGCCGATGTCTGTGAAGGGTGGAATTAGTTCAACAGGAATGTCGCAAAATAATATTAAAATGTGCATATCTTAAGAATTTCCAATTCACAGTTCCGCATGCTGGAGATAAAAAGGTCTCCCCCCCTCCCGGTAGTGTGTTGCCATTGCTTGCTTTTAAATCGTTGAGTTTGTTAATGAAAAATTCGTTAAAAGTTTTACAAAATATGAAATCAATAATAAAAAACAAACTCCAAATTTCAAATTTGGCCTTTCAGATGCCCATATTCGCAATAGGATTACGTCATTTAAAGTTGGATGGCTCTAGATACCATTGTTTTATCACAACGCAAGAAACGTACATATATTTATGCAGATTCTTCGTTATTGAATTTCTTCAGATATAATACAGGTCGATAGTATTTGGTGGCAATGATTTGAAAAGTGATACAGCCTTTTAAAGTTTTCAGTGCAAAATCACAAAACGAAAACAATAGTTCTTCAGGGACAAAGCCCCCTTGGACTAAAAATTCAGTTTATTAGAGTACATTTTATTTGCATATATACGTATATATGCATGTATTTAATAATATTCAATAAAAAAAACATCCACAAGAACTTAATACAAAATTTTCAAGTTTTTTGAAAAACAAAACATTTATTGAGTTTTTCTAAAATAATGTGATATTTTTCTTTGCATTGTCTTTTTTAGCATCAAATTGCTTGAAATCGTCCATTTTGTTATTCATTTCGCCATTGGAATTTGCATCTAAATAACTGCGCATACTTTTCATGATGTTCCTCATTTCGTATGAGGTGAAAACAGAAGCTGCATTTTTCATTTCATTTTCGTCATCAGAATCTGCGTCAATAATGTTTTTTTTTTAGCTTTGAACAAACTCAAAAATGTCTTTGTGTATCAGAATTGGGGCTATACACATTGTCATCAGCTACTTCAACAAATTCTTCCGATTATACAGTAGGACAACCCAATAACACAGAAACTATCTCATACATTTCATTAAGTGTCAGCTCAGTTTCAATATACTCCTTCTCCATTTCTTTTGGCACAAACCAAACTCGCTGATTTTTACACACACTGCAATGGACTCGTCACCGAATTAATTCCAAAGCCAACTGATGAGAGATGAGATGTTTTTGTATGCCATTTGTAAGGGTGGAGGATGAAAGTGGTTTAGATAAACAAAATTGGCTCATGTTACATGCTATTCCGAGGGTATTTCAAAGCCAGGTTAACCTCTTTTCTATGAAACATGCAAAACCGCCTCTCTTTCATTTCAAACTCCTCTTAAAGCTTGCCTACGTGGCTGTGTTTTCTGTATTTTGTTCATTCCTAGAAGGGAAATATTTTTGTGTTAAGCTATTTTCGTTTCGCGTTAAAAGAAAAAAATGCATGAAAATGTATAATAGTTTGTTGCTATCATTGTATTATTTTGTGTTAACCGATATTTCGTCTTGAGCGTTTTTGCATCATACGTATTTTACCGTACATACATACACACGTGCATACATTCACACATTCCTTACTAATGTATTTCATCTCGATGTACTCCGTCTTTGATATGATTTAAATCAAATTCCTCGTCATTATAATTCGCTTCCGATAGCGAAGAAAGTGACGGAGGTTATTGAAAACGAAAAAATTTCGATTGACAAAGTCAGTATTCTCGACACAGCAATCATAGGACTTGAACAGCGGAACTTTGTATCTGAAAAAGAAATTATGTCTGTTTATAGAATTAAAGAGAATGTATTATCACATAAAAAACAAAGCAACTTAAACAACTTACATTGAAAGAAATGTTTAATAAAGTAAACAAATAAATATTAAGCTTTTTTTTTTTTGTAAATTTTGATACCCTTTAGATCATAATTGTTCTTTATTTCATAAATTACGGTTTCATATTTTTAATTTTATAATTTCTGCATGCCATCTTACCAGATTTAAACTGATGATCTATAATCCGGAATCGCCGAAGTCCCGACGAGTCCGGATTAACGACTTTTGACTGTATCTCATGAAGTTTAATTTACTTTCTTCACGTTCTTTTATGTCATTTTGATCTATATTAAAGTACATTACATATGTGTATGTGTGTTCTAAAAGTTATTCTTCAATTGCACTGAAAGAAATTGTTATCAAATAAAAAGATTGTTTATGCATTTATTTATTTAACTGTGTTTCTTAAATTGTTTTTAAGTGAATTAAAATGGGAAATAATATGAATTATTGTTCTAAACTTGTTTTTTATGTTATAGATAGTTCAACATCAGACAGTGAAGTACGATGTTCTACCTCTTTCTCCTTTGTCCAAACATCGCTTAAGTAAGCCTTATTCATTTGTCTAAACTCTTTAAAATTTTCCTAAATTTAACTGGTTTTCCGAAATTTAGAACTGGTAAAATAATGCACACTTTCTTCTTCTTCTCTCTCTCTCTTTTTTTTTTTTTTAAATAAATTCTAATGCTTATACTATAAGTTTAATAATCTGAATGCAGTTTGATTTATACTTAGTTCGTTATGAAATTCAGTAATTTGAAGTCTATGAAAAACGATTGTTTTTCAAAAATTTACTTCTTGTTTAATGCATCTGAAGTAATTTCTTGATAGCATAGTGTTGTTTTGTAATTTTTTAAAACTGCTTTTACTATTTCTTCACTTTATCCGAAAGTTTTGAAAAGTGTTTCATATATGCAGGAACTCTTTCAAACTTATAATGCTAAAATATTGGGATCATTACTTCCGATTTTATAATTGCCAATAAAGAATAGGTGAACATGTGTCATGTTTTTGTTACCTGTGCAAAGTATATAAAAAATGGTTCATATCTTCTATTGTCATGGCGCTTTGAAATGTATGAAAAAGTAGAGAAGAAAAAGAATTAGAACACTAATGATTAGGAGGTAGGTAGCGTTTTAATTCTGCTCAGTCTAGTTTCACAAATGCATTCATCACTGTTAATAAATCATTGTGTAAAATTGTTTTTAATGAAGAATTATTTTAAGACTATGGAAGGGACACTAGTAATGGCAAACAATAAAATTTGTGTACTGCTTTCAATATAATCCCAATAAAATATTTACGAAAGAAAAATTCAGTGTTTTAATAATATTTATTCAAGGTATTAAATATATTTTAATGAAGATTATTGAAGTCTTGTGTGTGATCGAAATTGTTTGATATACTGTTCATGCCCAAAAAATGTAATTAAAAATTAAATAATTGGAATATATTTTATCATAATTAAATAAGAAAGTTAACTGTGCTTTGAAGTTTCAAGTAATATAACACTCCATTTTCTCCTCCCACTCCTACTAAAGAAAGTCTCATAACTTCAAAAATTTATGAAAATCCAAATTGACACTGAAACCTAATTTACATTTTCTATAGTTTTTATTTCCTTATTCGTTTAAACGAGGTTTGTGTGAGAATGAGTAATGGCAGATTATTTTAATTCATATCAGTAAAAATTTGAATTAAATATCAATTAAATAAATGTTGTAAACTTAGGAAAGGGAGAAACAGTTTTTAATGTTTTTTCAGTAGAATTTTTAAGAAAGTTAGAAAGGATTCAACCAACTATATCTTAAAAAATGTATGTTGTATTGATAGATCAGTTTGCAGAACTATTTGAAAGATAATAAACTAAGAATTTAAGATTCCATTGCTGATCAAAATAAAATTATTTCACTTGAGTTTAATAAATTATTCATAAAAAATTATTGCCTTTCCCATGAATTACCTTAATGTACCTAATAGCATATCCAGGTATTCTTCAGGTCAACCTAAGTTGGGAACACTGTCTATAGTAGAAATTGCATGCGTCCGCAGTGGAATATAGTTCTACCATTTCGAGAAGTAATATTGTAAAAATTATGCTGTGAAATATGAGTGCTGTTGAACAAAGGGAACGGAAGGAAAAAAATGTGCGAACGATAGATTACATTGCGTCCAGCTTTTTGTTTAAAAATTTGCTAAATCATGTCAATCAATGACCAGCAGGAAGACATCTTCTCTTTAGGCATTATTGGCGAAACTGCAAATTCCAGCTACCCTGACCTCAACTCACTCTTGACGAGAAAAGCAATTAAAGCATTCATTCATTCAGTGACGGAGAGGAGAAAAAAGCAGTTGTTATGGTATTCATTCAGTCCCGCTAAGCTTATAGCTAGTAACAATATCGGTATTGTATTTTTTAGGAAAATGCTCCCGTAGTATGACAGAAGCCTTCATTACGATAATCTTTAGTGATACTGTTTTTTCAGATTCATGAGGTTGAAAATTATACACATATGTCGAAGATGAAGCAGGTACCATAACAACTGCTTTTTTCTCCTTCCAGTCAGTAAATGAATGAATGCTTTAATTGCTTTTCTCGTCAAGAGTGGGTTGAGGTCGGGGTTGCTGGAATTTGCAGTTTCACCAATAGTGCCAAAAAAAGAGGATGTCTTCCTGCTGGGCATTGATTGACATGATTTAGCAAATTTTTAAACAAAAAGCTGGACGCAATGTAATCTATCGTTCGCAATATTTTTTCCTTCCGTTCTCTTTGTTCAACAGCACTCATATTTCACAGCATTATTTTTACAATATTACTTCTCGAAATGGTAGAACTATATTCTACTGCAGACGCATGCAATTTCTACTATATACAGTGTTCCCAACTTAGGTTGACCGCTTCATCTTTGACATATTTGTGTATTTTTCAACCGCATGAATCTGAAAAAATAGTATTGCTAAGATTATTGTAATGAATGCTTCTGTCATATTACGGGAGCATTTTCCTAATAAATACGATACCGATATTGTTACTTGGTATAAGCTTAGCGGGACTGAATGAATATCTCAGTTAAAAAAGGGCTCTTTTCCGGGCCACAAATTAAAAATACAAGGGCCGTTTTCAAGGCCAAAATTAAAATTTAAAAAAAGGCAGAACTATAAACAGTTATAAATAACATTATAAATACAAGCTAACAAATCCCTTAGAAAATACAATATGAAAGTGTCTCACCAGTAGCCGAGTGGTTGAATCACTGAATACTGGTAGTTTGACATTGTTTGAACCCAAGCGAACGGGCTGTATTCATGGTCACTTTGGGTCATTTTCCCATGTGTAACATGAATATGAGCATTTGTTTCCTTTAGAAAGTCCTCCACAAATGCATCTCACCCTTTAGTCGAATAGCTCTTGTGGGCTTTGCTGTATTCAAATCACTTAACCTATCTAATACGGAACTGATCAATTAAGTTAACTCTGGTAGAAGGAACAAGGGTTTCTGTCTAAAGGAAGAGATGGCTTCGTGGGGACTTTATAAGGGTAAAGGCCTTCTTTTATATAACATACTGAGTGACTTCTGTGCAGTTCAGAGCTTACAGTCATTGCAAACAAACTCGCTGCATACTACCAGTGTTTCATGGCTTAAGCAACTCTATCATTAATACGCTTGATTTGCAGATGATTCCATCTAAGAAAAGGAATAGCCAGATTTTTCCATATGATATGCTTGTTGTTTTTATACCTCGAAGGAAATGTATTGTTTTTACCTAGCTTATACTGTCCTACGCGACAAAATATAATTCGCAGATTCTCAGAGAGCTGAATCAGTCTGCTTTTTATAAATTGAGAGATGTAAAAGCAATGTATTCCCCTTCACGAAGCAAAAGACGCACCTTTCTTGCCACATCGCGCATAGACATTTTCATTCTTCAAAGCATAAATAATTTGTTTTTTAAATACAAGCAAACTGCCGCTTAATACGGTAAATGTTTTAAAAGCAGTAAATGCACTGAAGCTTTCAGATTTTCTTTTTTCTTTCTTTCTTTTTTTTTTTTTTTTTATAATACAAGACATTTTTAATGGTATATAATTGTAATTGATCAGTGGAATTAAATGGTATATGATTAATTAGTTGGTATAAGATCATTTGTTTCTTAATTTTTATGTTTGTTTCACAATTTTAAAATTTTAATATTTTTCTAATACCTTGACATTTTTAATGGAAACTCTTTAGTCATTAGACCGCAATCTGAAGATCTCAGTTTCCAGTCTTTTTATTCATTTTATTTTTTATTTTAAACAGTAATCAGAAAGATAGGATAAAACGTACTGTAGGAGGGTGATTACCTGGGCCTGACTGGGAAGTGTGTCTTTGGAGACAATACAGGATGTAATTTTTAAAATGTTTGCTATAAAATATTGTCAGAGTTTTTTAAACAATCGCAGATTAAATCAAAATGACATCTGTAAAAAATAAAAATCAAAAATTTTCCCATTGTTCACTGTTTTGGTGGTAACAAGCTGCGTAAACTCTTTAAGAATTAACAGCTTTTGTAACAGATGGAAAACTTGGATTCCAGCTTGTAAAAGGAGAATAGAATTGCTTCAAATGAATAAAAACGCTATTACGAATTTTGTATATATGTAAATAACTTTAGTGGAATTATGTTCAAAATTATAGAAAATACTGTACTGAATCTTATTAATTTCTTTTATTACAAAAGTAGGAAATGGTCATAAAAGTTCAAACATTTTTAATGATGATCAATCAGCCCTGAAATTCGGCACCACTGTCTGTGTTTCTATATAATAAAGTCCAAATATGTGAATGTTAAAATTTATATATTTCACAGAAGTCTGTAAAGTCATTAGGAGCAGGAAACAGGAAAAATCAGCAATGTCCTCCGCGGGATTCGAATTTTGGACCTCCTGAAGCTAGCTGGAGGTACGTCCAATTACACCACGAAGACGGGGTTAAAGAATGTTAAACTTCCTTGCAAGTTTTTTGTATTTAACTGTCGCTCCCAGTAGTAAATAGAAACCAAAAGTGAACATTAAAATGGTATGAAATGTTAAAAATTAGAAAGGATATTAAATAAAAGAAAAAGCATAGAAATTTAGATTTAGGAAAAGTAGACCAATGTAAAATTTAAAATAAGGCCTAAAAAACTTATAAAGTCGTAGATTTAAAACTTTTCGTATCATTATATACTTCATATTGGCATGTTTCCCTTATGTGTAGACAAATTAATATCCTAGAGTTAAAAAAATATTAAAGAAAATCTGAAAGGTTTCGGATTTTAAATTACGTCCAAACGGGTGCTTTTTTAACATTTTGTCTGTATTATGTTCTTTGCACTTGAACCATAAAATTCAGTTCAACAGCAATATCGCAAATTAGTTTTAAATTGAGCATATCTTTAGAATTTCCGATACACAGTTCGACGTGCTGGAGATAAAAAGGTCCCCCCCCCCCCATTATAGAATTATTTAAATTTTTTTTTTCCTTTTAGGGAAGTTTTTCGTGAAACTTCGCAGGAAGTGTATAATCGTACAGGAAATTGCCTTTATAAGTTTAAATTCCAAGATCTTACCATTATAATGTTGTAAGGGGACACAGCCGCAAAATGTTGATAGTTCAACTTAAGTTCTGCTCCTGTTCATTGAACATGTTACCGGCATGGAAGTTTAATAACTGTTCCACATTTAATGTAAATATGAGTCAATTTCTGATAGAAAGTTTAATTATCCTTTCTTTTTAACATGTTGCTTTAATTGCAATTATCCAATCCGTTATACACCAAAAACAGTTTAAATTGCAGATATAGAAATCGAAAACTAATTATTACTGCAATAACTAAGATTTTATTTCATAAATTGCTGTAAATTAAAACATAAACATTTCATTGCAGTAAGAAAAACATGCTTAATTTACGGTTACAGCAAGTTTTATAAGAGCTATGTTACTTGTGTGAGGTTATTTGACTAATAAAGATGATTTCAGTGACGACATACTCTCCATGTCAGTAGTAATAATATGTAACACTCTGCTGCCGTAGAGAAAAATTCTAGCAGTCATAGACAGCCTTATTCTAAATCTGTGCTCTTCCATAACAGAAGAGGTCATATGAAACTGTCTTAGGAAATATTCATAAAAGTTTAGATATCGAAACTCTAGAAATACATAATAAAAGTTCTAATTTGAGAATAGGTTCAAAAAAGGAATCATAGTTTTTTTTTTTTTTTTTTTTTTAATAATCAGTTATTTACTCATAAGCATACTTACACAGAGTGGCCCCAAAATTCTTCGAACACTGATGAGTTTCAGTGAAATATTGCTTTATTCATTAATAAAAATCTGATGTGTACACTACATGACTTCCTTGTATGGAATATTAAATTATGTGCATTTTTTCCTGCATTCCATTTAAACTTATTTCTTCGAATTTCATTTAAGATACATTTCTCATTCAATTAATTCAGTTCTCACTTCGTGGCAAGGCAAGGATACATAAACTCAAAATATTTTCATTAAAAATTGAGTGATTTGGAAAAACATAAAATACCAAATACAGTGTAAGCAGTTACAAAAATTTACAATTAAAAATTAGTTTCTAAGCAAAAACAAGCAATTTGGCCACTGGGCAAGAAGACAGATTTTTAGGTGCACAAAACTAAAAGATTCCTTTTGGACCTATTCTGCAAAAAGACACTGAAGGTGCAGAAAGATTTAATTCGCTATTCTGTTAAGTTTCAAATGTAAACAAATATGGCTGCTACGATAAAAAAAATTAGGCTTAGCCGGCCGCACTTTTAAATTGTTGATAATTCTACAACTGTTGCATGTAGATTACCGTATTTGACGGCATATAAGACGCACCCTTATTTAGACGGCCACACACAAGGAAAAAAAGTTTCAATAGCATAGTTTCTTTTAGTTCTCACGTTTTGTAAAAGTCAAATAAAGAATTATTGAATGCAAATTACCTTCACGTATAAGACGCAGGTAACTATTTTGAGACCAAATTTAGGAAAAAAAAGGCATCTTATATGCCATCAAATACGGTAATTAAAGGCATAAAAACCTTAACTGGAAGATAAGAACAACAAAATTCAATCATTTTTAAAGCAAAAAATGCACAATTTACCAACTTATAATAATAATAAAAGAGCTCACAGCACTAAGTGATATATATATATATATAGAGAGAGAGAGAGAGAGAGATCTGTATAGATACGACCGTTTGCAACCAAAAAGGGAGATGCACAGCTGCATGTTATAGTTGTCTTATATACAAAATGTCAAACTTCTGAGACTACTCGTTTTTGAGTTACGTGAGATACATACATACGTACAAACATCGCCAAAAAAAATTTCTATTGAATCCCCTTTAAATCCTTTTTGCAACCTATTTTGGGAAAAGTCTTTTATTTTATCCTTACGTACACAAATCATGCAAAAAGATCATTAAATTGCATTCAGTATCAGTCAAAATAGATGAAATTGATGAATAGATATCTGTCTATCCAAAATAGATGAATTTCATTGAAATACGAGACCAGAAAATTTTTGTAATTACAATACTTCCTTTACTTTGTACAAGGAAGTAAAAAGCCATATTTGAATATTTCTCCACTGACCATAAATATAATTTTATTGATCCTGATACTGACTATTGAAAGGTTTCGAGTTGGTGAAATGGGAAAATAAACAGTGCTGCACTGTCCATAACCAAATTAGATTCTTTATTGAGTTTATGAAGCAGCAGCTGCATCCTAAAATGTAAATGTTTTCAGACATTTTAAATGATGTCCACATTTTCATGCCTCTGTGTCAATATTAATTTCCTACCCGACATAAGTTTTCTCGCTTTTGGTAAGTATTTTAATTTACATTAAAAATTTCTATTTTTTAAAATATATCTGTTATTTTTACTTCCTTGTACGAAGATTTTTCCGTGGCATATCTATGTATCTCACATAACTCAAAAACGAGTAGCCTCAGAATATTAAAATTTTGTATATAGGACTGCTGTAATATTTAGATGTGCCCCTCCTATTTTGATTGCAATCAGCCACACCAAAAGTATATAAATATATGTGTATATGTATCCACTTTGTTACTCGGCTCAGTGAGCTCAGTTTCTTTATTCTTATATGTTTGTAAATTGTACATTTTTTGCTTTAAAAAATTATTGAAAATTTATTATTAGCAGCCATTTACATTTTAAACTCAGCAAAATAGTGCATTTGTTGCCAATCTAGAGAAACTAAGCTTTGCAACAACAAAGTAATTGTACATTTTTTGCTTTAAAAAATTATTGAAAATTTATTATTAGCAGCCATTTACATTTTAAACTCAGCAAAATAGTGCATTTGTTGCCAATCTAGAGAAACTAAGCTTTGCAACAACAAAGTAAAGTCTTCTTTTATTATTGTGAATCAAATTATGCTTAATCCATTCTGGAATTATCATTTAAGTTATTAAATTATCTCACATATTGACTCAGCATAACATTCACAACAATTAAGTCGGTTTCTACGCCTTATCTTTTTACCGAGTGAGACCAAAAGTAAGCTTTTAGTTTTGCACACCGAAAAGTCTGCCTTCTTGCCTGGTGGCTGAATTGCTGTTTTTGCATAGAAACTGTAATTTTAATTGTGGAGAAAAAAAAAAAAAAAAAATTAAGCTGTTTTAACTGCATTTGGTGGTTAATGTTTTTCTGTATCTTTCAAATTTTAATATAGATGTTTTGAGTTTTTATGTATTTTTGCCTTGTCGCGAAGCGAGAACTGAATTAATTGAATGAGAGGAAATGAAAGGCAGGAAAAAATGCATTTAATTTAATATTCCGTACAAGGAAGTCATGTGGTGTACAGATTTTTTCCCTTTTCGGTTTTTCTTGAATTTAACTGTATTGTAGATATTTTGGTAATAATTTTCATGCTTGGAATTTTTCGCCAAACTGTTAGCACTTTGTATCTGATCCCAAAAAACAGAAAAGTACTATTTTATCACTCTTAACTATGCTTTTACTATATTTTTAATCATGACGATAATTTGAGTTTTTGTTTATAATAACATAGTTTTATGGACAGAATGCTAAATTTGTCATTAAAAATGTTATGAACTGTTTCAACTTTTCTTGTGCTTAAAAATGTAGTTAAATTGTTTGTACTTTCTGAACATTTGCTGTTTATACAGGTTTGGTGAAACGGAAAATACTAGTCCTTGACCTTGATGAAACATTAATTCACTCTCATCATGATGGTGTTATCAGACAGATGGTTAAACCTGGCACACCACCAGATTTTGTACTGAAAGTATGTTTATAATTCAAACATATTTTGGTTATTTTCTCTTAAAAGGACTTTACAGTTTATGAATTATGTTTTTTACTTTTAGTGATTTAAGTAATATACTGATGCAGCTGAAAAATAATACAAAAGTATTATGTGTACAATTGAGATAATTATTAAATGCAATCTAACCCTAATTTAGTGACATTTGATTTAAAGTCATGTGCAAAAGTTTGACCACACATGGAAAAATCAGATTTATTGGAATTCCACAACAAAAATGTGTTATAAATGAAAAAAATGGACTTAAAAGGTTACTGAAGTATAGTCAGTATTTTCTCAGACCTCCTTTATTTTTTGTCTCTGCTGCAATCCTTTTAGGCATGCTATGAACAAGAGACTGGCAGTGAAGCTTGAGAAATCTTTGTGCACCACACATGCTTTATTGCTTCAACAAGTTCTGTAGCACTGGATTGTAGCTTCTCCGCGACTTTATTTTTCACAATACACCTCAGGTTCTCTATGGGATTCAAACCTGGGCTGTTACCTGGCCAATCAAGCACCTGGATTTGAGTAGCCCTGAAATAGTTCTTCTCTGCCCTGTGACATTGATTTGAGCATTTTCATATACAGTACTAAGTCCAAGATCTGGACGTCCAATATCCAAAATGGATCTAAAATCGGGACCTCAAAGCCACCAACTCCCCTTTAATTTATTTTTTAGAAATGTTTTTGTATGCTTTATGCATGTGCATTTGATTTTTCCCCCATAGTAAAAAAACACATGAAGAGTTGCGATTCTTAATATCACTTCGGCACTAAATGAAACACCTCATTATTCAAGAAACAATCAATAATTTGGCTCCATAGCTGCATACCTGCTTGGCATACATCTCAAATCGAAACATTCTACTTAAAAACATTATTGATTTTACACTAGTGATATTTTATATCCCTGACGCCAACCTGGCAGATCATATTATATTTTGCTTTCATCACTGCATGTTTATACACATGATAATTTGAATAATGACTTATGCGGCAAAGCTGAAATTTTGACCGTTATCGAATGCAATTTAACGATGTTTTTGCGTGATATCTGTACGTAAGGACAGAATAAAATACTCTTTTCCTTCAAAAAAATTATAAAACTGCTTTAAAATTAATTCTGAAGAGAATTTTTCGTGGCGTCTGTACGAACGTATGTATGTACGTACGTAAGTATCTCGCATAACTCAAAAACGAGTAGCCTCAGAACGTTGAAATTTTGTATATAGGACTGCTATAACATGTAGATGTGCACCTTGTATTTTGGTTGCAATCGGCCGCACCGAATGTATATAAATATATTTATATATATATATCCACTCAATTACCCGACTTGGTGATCTCAGTTTCTTTACTCCTATATGTTTGTAAATTGTACATTTTTTGCTTTAAAAATGATTGATGTTGTTTTTATCTTCCGGTTAAGGATTTTATGCCTTTAGTAAATCTGTGTGCAATAGTTTTAGAATTATCACCAATTTTAAAGTTGTTTAATTGCCGCTAAGCCTGTTTTTAATGGCGGCCATTGATGTTTACATTTGAAACAAGAGACTAGTGGATTTTGTTGCCAATCTAGAGAAACTTAGCTTCGCAACAACAAAGATAACGCATTCATTTATTATTGCCAATTAAATCATGCTTAATTCTTTCTGGAATTTTTTCGAGGAAATAAGTGTTTGAGATTTACTTCGTAATTTTTAATATAGATATTTTGAGTTTTTATGTATTTTTGCCTTCTTGCGAAGTGAGAACTGAATTAATTAAATGAGAAATACTCAGTCGTCTGTGAAAAACTGTTTCTTTTTTGTTTTGTTTGCTTAGTTTCTTTTATGTATCATTCTAGCTTTATTATAGTATTTGAATAGAACATGTGGCAACGATTAGATAATTCTATTCTTTAAATGATATAAATTTTGTGCATTATGAGTTATAATATGAACGAAATATATACGTTAACTGTTATATAATTATTGGATTATATAGCAGTTAACTTAGTTTCCGTTATATAATTATTATATAAGTTAACTGTTATATAATTATTAATACTGTTAAGTGAATCTGGCGCCAGAGTGTCGCTATGGTAAACAAATACTAGAGTGAATTTTAAAGAATGCATTTATTCTATTGTGGTTTATGTGCTGTCGCCGAAGTAGATTTAATTCAATCCAATAAGTTTTAAATGAAATGCAAGAAAAAAATGCGCATAATTTAATATTCCAATACAAGGAAGTCATGTGGTGTACACATCAGATTTTTTATATTAGTAATTTAATAGCAAAATGTATGGTAACTTTTTATCTGGACATTATGCTTGACATTCCAGATTCAAGTTAAATGTACTAAGAAATGTTGACAAGGAAAAATTAAGAAAAATTTCTTTCCATATGCTAGAAACAGATTTTGTTAATGATACTCATAGACCAATAAAAATAACTGATTAGTTATTCACATTAACCCAGAACTGGCGCCAGAGCTCGTTTGGCAACACCAGGCGGCATAATTTAAGAAAGACAAAATTTTTGGAATTTAGAGAAGCACCAAACAGCAAAATTAAGGGATGACAAAATTTTATTAATTTAGGGAAAGCATTGGGACCCAAAATTTAAAATCTAGGGAGGCGCTTGGTAACAGAATTTAGGACCCACAGAGACTGCATCAGGCGGTAAGATATCTATCATTGACCCTCGATATGACTTAAGTGTATGTGTGAATTTATTTATTCAGGACTTAAATAAGCTTTAAACATGTGCAAAAAATAGACACAAGTATAATAAATAACTAAATTAATATAATTCGGGCTTAACTACTTCAGTGCGCGATAGAAGCAAGACAAAATTTGGTGAAAAAACTTGTCTGTCGTCGCCATTCTCATGATGCATAGCCAGTAATATATAGCGAAAGTTATCAAGTTAGGCTAAAATTATACTTTACTAATTCCAAGGAATTTCAGTTAATATAAACAGATTGCCCTGTTCCATAACTTTCTGATTTAATCCAACTTGTTATTTTTTGCAGGCTGTTATTACAGCAATTTTATGAAAATAAAGTTTGAACTTTCGAATTATGTTGAAAAGAGTTTCTAATTCTGGAGGTGCAAAAGGATTTACAAAGCAAAAGCATGTTTCGATGTCTATTAAATGAAAAGTGGAATTTCTAAAAAAAATGGATAAAAGTATATCCGGCTCAAAATTATGCGAGGAGTATGACATTGGGAAGCCATCTGCACATGACATAAGAAAACAGAATAAAGGAATTTTTTGTGATTCTGATACCCCACTCTCAATGAATAACAGAAAAACTATTTGTTATGCTAGACGTGACGATCATGACAAAATAATGATTGAATTGGTCAGACAGCATTTGCAGCAAGGGCATGCCAGTGTCGAATACAGTGCTAAATGGCTCAAGCCAATATATTTCATGAAGAAATGAACTTAACTGAGTGCACATATTCGACAGGTTAGTTAACCAAATTTAAAAATTGCCGTGGTATAAGGCAATAAGCATGTGCAAATGCTGCAGGAATGCACAAGTGTAAACTTTTTGTAATCGCAAAAAATACATGAGTTTGAGCATTTAAAGGAGTAAAGAATTTGCCCGTTATATATCTCAAAAATAAAAGAGCATGGATGATAGAAGTGTTAATGAATGATTGGTTTGAAAATCATTTCATAATCGAGGTTCGGCAACATTTGAATTCGGTTCATTTACCTGAGGACACAAAAATTGTCCTATTTGTAGACAACTGTTTGGCTTATACTTCACTTAAAGTTTTAGTGAAAGATAATATATTGGTATTATAGGGAATAACCATTTAAAATCTTTGTTTTAAATGTCTAAATGGCAAAAGAGAGTTGAGCAACATTGCCTAAACTCTTTTCCTTCTTTTTATAAGAAGGAAGTATCATATATCGGTATTATTCCTTCCTCCAAATTTTGCGTTCACCATTCAGTCTATGGATATCATACTAGTGCACACGCTGAAATGCACATATAAAGTAGCATTTTTTAAATTCATTGAATTTTTAAAATTCATTCAAATTTCTTGAATGGTAAGACTGTTCAAGAATTTAAAAAATATTTTAGCATAAAATCTGCCATGTGGAGCATCGCAAGATCGTGGGATATGTGTCTCCAGATACTTAAAAAAATGAATAGCATAATTTATGGCCAGCTAAAGTATTTCATTGTGAGGATGATTAAGATGATAGCTGCAAATTTGAAAGTTTTGGGATATCACAAACCAAAGGTGAAATTTTCCAATTAATGGATTTTGTAAAGAAATGTAAAAAAGTGGTAATAAAAATGAAGATGATATAAAAGAAGTTTTTCATTACGATGACAATGCCCCAATTTCAAACGGTTAACGCACGACAAAATCTGTAGTATGGTTCTAGATCCAAAAATTACTGTTACCGATTGTGAAGAAAGTGGCAGGTTATTGAAAACGAAAAAATTTTGATTGATAAGTTAGTTGGAATTCTTGACGCAGCAATTACAGGACCTGAATAAAATGGAACTTTGTAACTGAACAAGAAATTAAAATCTGGCTGTAGAATTAAAGACAAAATATTAGCACAAAAATCGAAGCAATTTAAACAACTTACATTGAAAGTGTTTAATAAAGTAAACAAATAAATATTAACCCTTTTTTGTGAATTTTGACACCTTTTAGATAATAAATGCTTCATTATTTCATAAATCACAATTTTAATTTCTACACGCCATTTTACTAGATTTAAACTGATGATCTAATATCTGGAATCGATGATGTCCAACAAGTCCGGATCTTGGACTTTGTTCTGTATACATATATAAATATCTTTTAAAACTATATGTAGCTCTTAAATTTTGTTAAGATGGGATATTATCCTTTTCTGTTTTCATCATTTGCTAGAAAAAAGTGATATATGAGTTTCATAAGAAGATTTGAGAGCACATTCAGAATTTAATGGACATTGTAAGAATTAGAATAA